AAACCACACCTACCCAGTCATGTGACCACAAAGCTATGCCCAGCCAGTCACGTGACCAGCAAGCCATGCCCTCAAATTAGGCCATGCCCACAGAAATTTGAATCCCACCCCTGGGTGGGGGGCCACCGAGGATGAGTTTGTAGCACCAAGGGGGTGGTGGACTGAAAAAGTTTGGGAACCACTGGACTAGATGATAAGAATGACCTTACTACTGATTGCTACTGATATAGGAAAATAGTGAACATTGGATTATGCTGCCACCAAGATTTGAACTTAATTCAATAATACCTAATTCTTTATTTAGAATTCCATACTTCTACTACCTCTTAATCAGGAATTTAGGTTATCTTTTTATGTCTATCTGTAATCCTTTGTTGTCATTAGTTGCAGAAATAATTTCCTTCCAGATTCTCAATAAATTGGATGTGGTAGCATATACATGTACAAATCTCATTCTTGCGCAATTTCCAAAATTGAAAAATGTATTGATGCACATGTATAAAAGACTTAATATATTTCTTACCTTCTTGAAACTATCCATACTTTTACATGGAATAATACTTCTCTCTTATAGATTCTGATGCTGCAAACTAGTGAATCCCTTCTTATAATTTTATTCTTCATTTTTCATCCCATTCCATTTTTAATGTGGAATTTGAACTCTTTATACCGTCATTTTGTATTACAGTTAATTAAATTTAGGGTTAAATTACATAATGTGACAGATTTAAAAACATCTGTGAAACCACACAAGGGTTGTACGATTTGTACATAGGTAATACAATGTCTTTGTGATGACAGCATACATAATAATGTATGCTGGACATGGGAGCAGCATATAGACATCAGCATATATACTTATGCTTATATTTATAGTTTCTATATACTTATCCTTACACTTATAGCTTCTTTAAAGTTTGAATAGCCAAATATTGTGTGGCAAAGAAATATGAAGTTTCCTAGAATGCATTTATTTATTAAATTTAGCTGCCTATACCTAGTGTAAAATGCTCATTAAATAGCAGTGAAGATACGGTGTATTGGCTGGAGCACTGTGTCTAGACCAGGAATGTCAAACTTGGCAGCCCACCGGCTGGATGCATCATATGCAGGCCATGCCCACCCCAGGTCTGCAAACAGGAAAAATATTGCAAAAAGTCATGTGCCGGCAACATGACACCGCAAATTTGACACTTGTGACCTAGACAAAGGCACAAATAATTCTCAACTGTTAACAGTGGGATCATAAGGTAAGAATTTACAGGATATTTCATTAGCAATTTTGAATTTTTTTAAACTGAAAAGCACCAAATGTACAAAGCAAAAACACCATTCTTAATTTATATAAATGTTCTAACAAAGGCAACTAACCTTCTTCCTGCATTTATCTTACATATTTCACATTATCATCTCATCGACCTGAGATGCCACTGAAAAATGTGTTTAAAAGACTTTAGAGGTCTGATAATAGATGCTTATACTGGAGTAGCGCTTACAGTTTTTGCTAATTTCATTAATTTTATTACAACTTTTAATTTAAAGACATTGGAAAGTGATTGTTCAATGTGACCTCTGCAGATGTCCATCTAAAATGCTTTGGGGTGAAGTAACAACCACAATTTTGGGATTTATCGGTCATGAAGCAATGATGTGTGGTTTGAAATGTTAATTCTCTAGTCCCATAAAGTAGATTGATAGATGAGGCATAAAATGGTTCCAGATGCTATATTTCCTAACTGTTCAGCTGTGCTTGCTTTCTCTACCTCTGTCACCTGAAGCTGTAATATTGTAAGTAGGCCACCTGCATTTTGATTTCCCTGCTTTTAGCAGAATGTCCTTGAAAGCGTTTGGAAAGCAGCATGTTGCTTTGTTAAAAAAAAGAAAGAAAGAAAAATATGTCAAATCAAGGAAATAATCTTGATAAAGATGGCTGGAAATACAGACTTGATATGGCACAGAATTGTGTGTTTGAGATGCTACATTGTTTCTAAGGTATAAGTACTTGAGATTTTGTGAACAAAATACCAGTGGTACTATCCATGAAGATGCATCAGACAAAGCGGGTCTGTGTGATTTATCTTGTTGCATTCTGAACAATAATAGGGGAAAGAAGAGAGAACAGTTACCAAATCAAACAGGCCTACAGGACTGCATTTCGTCTAATTTGAGGCAAACTGCACTGTAAAACTTACATGTAAAACCAGAACATTCCACTTCTACAGGATTTTAAATTTACATTGGACATTGCAAATATAGATTAAAGAATTTACTATATAAATAGTAAAAAGTTGCAAAAGTTAACGTGGAAGTAAAAATCCTGGGCTGATAGCTTTTAGACTAGATCTGGACACAGGTCTCAGGCCACATCTGGCGCTTTGATTGTCCCTGTCTGGCCTGTGTGAGGTCATTTGTAAATTAGAACTCAAATGTAAATAAGTGCACAGTATGTCATGCATGCAGTACAACTGCTTTGCTTTTATTTTGAAGGAGACTGATGTATTTTCCCCCCAGTTTATTTATGTGCATACATTTGTGCCTACGCACCCATCACAGCCCTATTGATAAGTCCTAGTTTCTTATGTGACCCCCTGGGAAAATTAATTGCCCCCAGCACTGTTTGTCATAATTGTTATGCTACTTCTGGTGTATTTGCTTCACTGTTTGCAGATAACATTCAGTATAGGTTGAGCTTCTGGATAATTTTTTGTTTAAATTGAAATAAGAGGATCTGGAACAGGACTGTCAAACTTGCAGCCTGAAGGCAGGATGTGTGTCACACGCTGACCATGCCCATGCCCATGCCCAGTTTAACAAAGGGGGAAAAAGTCACGTGGCAATGCCATGACGATGTGAGTTTGATACCCTTGATCTAGAATGTTAAAAATGTAGTTGGTTTTTGATGAAAGAATTGAGGAATGTTTCAAATAGCAAATGAAAAAACTATGTGGTTTGTCGTAAGACTGGAACATATTACTTTCTTGCTAATCATCATTTTTTAAACACTGTCAATTCCCTTTGTGTCTGCTGATAGCATTCATGGAAGATTGATTTGAAATGTAAAAAAACCTGAGAGATTTGTTCACTTTATACATGATTTTGATAGGAAATGGGGGAAAAATTGCCCTGTTGTACAAGTATCAGAAAGCATAAGGGCTGATCACTGGAGAGTAGTTTGGTGAAATTTGGTGTAGAACTGAAAATCCTATGGCTGAAATCAATAACATTTAATGTATCACTTGCCTTCTCTGGTTCATAATATCAACATGGAGTATTGCTGAAAAGAATGTTCTGCTATCTTAAACCATTTTTCCTATTTAGAAAATGTTTATGGACAGAAATATATGAGCAGAGCTTGTTAGCCTATATACCCTTATCTATTCCTTCTAGTTTAAAGTGTTTGTAAAAACAAATAGTGTGCATGTATATAAAGGTAAAACCTCCTTAGATAACAAAATGTAGCACTTTTCTCCCTTTTTCAATACCTCCCACTCTTGCTGAATTCAAGGTATGCAGTTCATGTGTCTCTAGAGTCTTCTTGACAAGAAATAACCTTGAAAATGCAAAAGCATTTTAAATTAAAAGCAGGTACAAATTAGCTCAATAAACCAGCAAGTGCACAATTCTCACAAAAATTTTTTGAAGATAAAGAGAATGTTGGAAAACAATGGAAACGAAACCATACCAATCCATCCCTAGAGACAACTAAATTGCCTTATAAAAACAACAAGTCCGTGGGCATAAAACGGTTTCTAAAAAGCAGGGAGAATGAGCCTTCTCCATCCATTAATATAGGTGATAGGGCAATTTCACGTAATGCACTCAGGGATATAGCAATAGGAACTGAATTTCTTTTTCCTTTTACATGATGTACATCTATCTGTAAGATTTATATTTTACTTTTCCTTCAAGGGCTCAAGGCAGCAAATATAGCATTGTCTCCAATTTTTCTTTCTAACCTCTTTCCTGCGTGAGAGATTTTGCTGATAGCGAATGGACCAAAGGCACCCACTGGATTTCAATGGACTGGAAGGATGGATTTGAATCTTAATCTCCCGAGGGCAGATCCAATACCAGAACCACTACCTCACATGGTCTCTCTTTTGATATACATATTTTAATGCAACTTGCTGAAAGTTAAGATCATGGGTTTCTTTTAAAAATAGCTCCAGATTTTTATTTGGAAACCCTTGAAGTCGGCCTAAGAGATAAATCTAATATTTTTGCAGAAGCAATTTCTGCCTATGGTATTTGTGTCAACTTTAACTTGATTTGGGATTTTAATGCAATAATACAGGCCAGTTGCCTTAGGTTTAGAATAAGTATACATTGCCAGAGCATATTGTTGGTATATTATGCATTCTCATCACATCAGATAGACTGCCCTCCCAAAAAGTGGGGTGTTTCATTGACCAGACTGACACCATATTACATAATCACAGTCTTCTTAATCATTGCCTCCTCCCACAATTCCAATGAAAATTCTTCCACAAAGTATCAGTTAATCTTGAGGTGGAGAGTGGGCAGCCTATTATTACATCAATAAATCTCTTTATATTTGTTTTTACTGTTTGAAAAATGCTAGGTGAGGCTGCTAATTATCTATTGAAAATAAAACCTGTTTGGGGCATCTAGTAAATAGACTCATTCTACTAATTTTATTCACAATTCTTTAGGAAAACTTCTCATGCTAATTTCTTTTGGAGTCCACAGGCTGACAGGTTGTATACATGTTAACTGTTTTGTTGAATAAGTCATACTTGGCTAAGTCTACAAACCCTGCTAAGCCATGTTGGCCCAAAATATAAGGCAAAACTAATGAAAAACAACTCATCAGCAGGATTGTTAGCCCTACTGAAAGTGATTTAAGATTTAAAATGTAATACCAATTATTGTAACAGAATGATTATATCAAGGTTTCCCATTTTTATTGTTTTTATTTTCTATATTTTTTCCTTTATTCTCCATTATTTTTTAAGAATGCTTTTTGAACCTAGAAAGGATGAGGTTTGTGCTTTATTTTAGAGAAAGGGTGTCAGACTGGATTTCTTCGAGGGTCGGATCAGCATTGTAGTTTTGCTCAGGCCGGCGGGGGGGGGGATGGGTGGAAGACAGGACGGACACCTCCTGCAGGACCCTGTGGACCAAAATGGGGTACATAAATAAATCTCAGAGAGCACCAAGGACTCCACCGTTCAATCCTGAGCTGCAAGGGATGAACTGTCTTTCCTTAGTTAAATAAAATCAGATGGGTACTAGGAGCTGTTGCCAAGCATCAGCCACCCTGGGATGCCATGTGGAGATCAAAATTGTAATCAATGTCTTTGTGGCTTCTGTCACTTCATGTCAGACTGAAGTTTGCTTGATTTGCCTTAAAGGGATTGATATTTTAAGCAGTTTTCTGCCCTGGGGTCTCTAACTGTGGCTTATAGTTTAGCATATGCTAAATGTAGATACTGCAATTTATTAAACTTTAGTTGAGTGAAACCATAGCTTAGCACTGTGTGAACTCAATCTGTTACAATTAGAAAGGGAAATGAAAAACAGTACATTTTCTCTGGCGTTTCAATGGTCCTTGCTCCAAACCTCCCCCCCCCTCTTAAAGTTAAAAGGAGAAGTGTGGTGTAGGAAGTGAAGCTAAATGAAACTCACCCAAGTAATTATACATCGTGTAAAGAGGCTTTGCAACATTTGATGCTAGAACTAGATTGTCATCAGGGGACTATGGCATAAGGGAACTGAATTCTTTTGTCGCTCTTCATTCTACATCAACTGGAAAAAAAAAAACCAAACCCGGAACTGATTACCGTTTGTTGAAAAAGGAGAAAAGTGGGCCATCCCTTTTCCCTATTACGTGAATGATTCAGCCGCCCTGTCCCTGCATACTGGCAACTTAAAAAGCTGACGCAAATCATGGAAGCCAGAAGAACTCAAAATTATGTGCCATGCCTTTTTGGAGAATGATACCAAGAATAACGAACTAGCCAGCTGCAGGTTGGTCAAACCTAGCTCGTGGAAGATAGCTCTTGAAGCCAACGAAAGTCTATTTGAGTACCCAGGCGGGAGGCCTAGCGAAATATAGGTGGCCCTCGACTTACAACAGTTCATTTAGTGATTAAAGTTACATCCACTGAAAAAAGTGATTTATGACCATTTTTTCACACCACCATTGCAGCATTCCCCCATGGTCACGTGATCAAAATCCAGACGCTTGGCCACTGACTCACATTTATGACGGTTGCAGTGTCCATGGGGGAGGGTCACGTGACCCCCTTTCGTGACCCTTCCTACAAGTAAAGTCAACAGGGAGAAGCAGGTTTCACTTCACAATGAAGTAACACTTCACTTAACAGCTGTGGCAAGAAAAGCCACCCAATGGGGCCAAGCTCACGTATAACAAACGTCTGGATTAGCATAGAGAGAGGGAGGGAGAGGGGGTTCATTGCGGTCGTACGTCGAGGCTCAACCGTCCTGCGATTTGAGCGGCCGTCGGGAAGCGCGTCTTCCTCTCCTGAGCCAATAGAGGGCGCAGTGGCGCCAGGCCACACGTCGCGTCTCGGCTTTTTCCGCAACCTTCGGCGTCTCTTCTAGAGGGCTCGAGCGGCGGTGGAAGAAGCTGGAGGCTCGGAACGCGGCGCCCGCTTCTCATTCGCCTTTTGCGTGTTCCTCGGTTCCTGCCGAGATTTCAGTTCCGAGCTGGAGGGGATGGCGCTTGCCCAACGGCAGGCTCGGGGAGGGTCTTGAGCACCGGGTGACATCAGCGCAACCGAGCGCACACAAAAGCGATGGAGGCTCCCCCTCCCCCCCCCCCAGTAACGCAACTTTGCAGGCTCGGTGCAATCCGGCGCCGCTGCAGAGAGCGAAGCCCCCAACCCCCCCTTCTCATTAAGGGGGGGTCTCTCTCTCTCTCCCGCCCCTCCCCTCTTCAAAAAAGGCTCCCTCACGAGGCGGCTTTGCAGCCACCCAGGTCTCGTCATCCATTCTAAGAGTGGCCTCTACCCCCACCCCACCCCCCCACCCAGCACGCCCGCAGGAATGACGCTTGCGGTCACCCTCTGCGGATGTTTTACACATACATTACACACAAACTCGTTTTGCTCGGTATCGTTTGCAAGGCTGCACCTGCTGGCTTCTTACAAAATCCCGCTGCTTTTTTTTCTCCGCCTCAAAAGATTAAAAAGCTGACCAGACATTTTGCTTTTTTTTTTTTTTTTAGTTATCCGGCAACCATATTTGTAAAAAAGAAAAAAAGGGGGGGGGGAAGAGTTCAGACTCTTTTGACAAGGGCCTACAATTTCATGAAGCAATATCCATCAAAGGGATGCAACGCTGGGCACAAATTCAATCTCGGCGTGCAGTGGGGGGGGGGGGACAGTCTCGTCATCCTTTCAACTTTCTCTCTTTCTCACACACGAAAAGAGGCTGGGAGGACGAGAGCGCGAGGCGGGAGAAGGAACGGAGGAAGGCCCGAAAGGCCGCTCGGAAAACGGGAAAGAGGAGGGGGAGGGAAGCGATTTCTTATCTCCCCCCCCCCGCTTTCGCCCAGCGCGCGTCACGTGACTCCCACAGGGAATTAGCTCGTCACGGCGATGAGGCAATCGCTTGCGGTATCCCTCCGCCACTCAGAACGTGCGCACGCTCCTCCCCTTTCTTCCCACTCAACCCCCGCCCCAAACCCCGTTCCACCTCCGCGCCTCTTTGATCCCAATTCGGGGCTTGGCCTTTTCCCCGAAGAACGAGTCGGGCGCTTCCCGTGCAGGGTTTGGCAAAGAAGGAGGGACAGAAGAGAGAAGGGAGACGTCCGGGAAAAGCAGCGAATCGGCCGGCGCGGCAGCCGAAGAGGCGGTGATGTGGCGGTGCGGGACTACTTTTTTCGTCAGCGGCGGCGGCGGCGGAAGGAGCTAGGAAGGGTGGAGTGGTTGGACGCCTCCTCCTCCTCCGCCTGGGCCGTCTGTCTATCTGTCTGTCTCTCCCCTCCTTTTGGTGCTGGGCTCCCTCTCCTCCCTCCCTCTCGCTCCCTCCTGCTTCCCTTCTCGCTTCGGAAGCTGCAGCCATGATGGTAGTTTGAAGCTCCTCAAGCGGTTGGCGCTGGGAGACTCGGAGCCGCAGCCCCAACGGGAAGCGAGCGTTTAAGTGAAGCGCGCGCTGGCAAGGCAGCCGGCCGACGGACCGACCGACCGACGAGGCTGCCCCCCGAACCCCTCAGCGGATCGCGGATAACCGAACCACCGGCGGACGGAGCAACATGACCCGCGGCGACTGCCGCCAGCCTCGAGCTCTCCTCAGGACCTGAGTTCGGCGGCGGCGGCGGCCTTGGTCCTGCGCGGCCGCCGCGCCGCTACCACCAACGCCGCCGCCACCTGAGGCCCAGCCGTCTTCCCCGCGCTTTCTCCGAGGGGAGCCCGCCGGCCCGTCGCGTCGAGCCATAGAGTCCCAGCCCCGAGCCGGCCGCCTCCCCTTGAATCCGAGGGAGCCCGCCCGCCCGCACCCCCAGTTCGCGCGGGGTGCGGAGCGGGCCGGGGGAGGGGGGCTGCCAGTCGCGGAACTGCTGTCACCGCTGCAGCTGGAGCGCCGCTGCCTGACTGAGGGGGGAAAGGAACGGCCCGAAGGCGGCGGCGGCGGCGGCGGCGCTTCCTCTTTCTCGTCCCAAAGCCGCAGAAGCGCGATAGGGAGTCGGGGCCGCGTTTCTTCCTCGCCGCCGCCGCCGCCGCCGCTCTCGGGATCTTGCTTGCCGCGGGGAGCCGCGCCAGTGGCGGAGCCTGCAGGAGGACCTTCCTCGCTCCCGCTTTCCGTCGGGGCCGCTGCTGCGGGGCCTTCCCGGGAGTCGCCGCTGGATCGATCGGGGGCAGGCCCTGTCCACGGTGCCGGCCTCCCCGCGCCGTCCTTGCTCGGCAGCCGCTTGGTTAGCAGCCGTCGGTCGTGCCGGCGGCGGGGACTGTTCGGGGAGCAGCCTCCCCCGCCGAGGCTTCGAGCCATCTGCACCCTGCAGCCGCCGCCGTGCCTCTCCGCGCTGTTCCTGAGCGGCTCCCGGCTCCCAGACATGACCGCCATCATCAAAGAAATCGTCAGCAGGAACAAAAGGCGATACCAGGAGGATGGCTTCGATTTAGATCTGACTTGTATCCCTTGTATTTTGGAGGCCGAGGACGGTCCCTGTTAAGAGGGGTCCCCCTTTCTCGCTAATGCACCCCGATTCTCCCAGGAGGCCTAGTGTCGCTCTATCTTGTGCTTCCCGCCCCTTTCCCCATTAGGTGCCATTTTTTATTTTTTATTTTAGAAAAATGGCTGTGATTTCTGGCTTCTCCCTCCCTTTCTTCTCGTGCAGAAGCAAGAATCTGGCAGACGTGGGCCTAGGCCGGGCATTAAAGGTAGAGATGAAATGGAAATGAGTAGTGCCCATATAGCTGTTGCATCAGAAACTTGAAGGTGATATTCGGTATGCTCCTTGCAAGTAGTAGTAGGTCTTGTGATCTGGAATAGTTATGTGAATTATGGCAGTTACTTGTATTAAAGTTGCTAAGTTCATAGTGACAAAGAGCTGAGTAGTTCCATTGTATTCGTTCTGGAAAAAGTTAATGTAGAAAGGTTCTGTCTGTATCACATCAGAGTTAGTGGATTGGGAAAGTTGGCTGTGGATGAAAAATCTACTGGTGTTTTAGTGTAGCAATAGCACTTAGACTTGCATGCCGCTTCACGCCCTCAAGCTGTTTACAGAATCAGCATATTGCCCCCAACAATTTGGGTTGGATGGATGGAAGGCTTAGTCAACCTTGAGCCAGTGTACTTATGTTTGGTTAGAAAGCAGGCTCAATAATGGATTATAAATGGTGGTGAATATGCTACAAAAGATTGTTGTAAATATTAAAGCTAGTATTCACATTTTTATACGATTGTGTGCTTGATTTTGACATTACATAGTACTTAAGTACCCACAAATGTAAGTATCTGATATTCTTCAGATAAGATTTTGAAAAATTGCTATTTTACCTAAGTAACCTATCTGCAAAGGTGGTTTTGCTTAAGAAAGTGCTTCTAAATATATACTGTGGACTACAATATTTGTGCATTCAAAGACATTAAGAATCAATCATACACAATATTCAGGCTTTGAATTTCTTAATGTAGTACAATTTTGATGACTATAGAAGAAATTACTTTTCACTTATATAGTTTCTGGGAGGTGTGGCCAATGCGCAATGGATATTGGTTCTTGGTGTCAATTCATATTATTTTAATTATAAAGAGATGATTGTTATTTAAGTATTTGTATTTTTAATAGTAGAAGCTACAGCTCCAGAATTAGGAAGTTGGTCATTTGCATACTCCATCCAATAATTTGAGTTATGGCTGTAAATGTTAAAGCATAGAGATGGTTCTTTTAAAGCACAGAGATTCTGAAAGACAAGTTTATCTTTCTGCAGAAATAGCTTTAGTAGGAGTATTAGTTGATGGTATCTTGTATAATAGCATAGAAATCTTTGGAAATGTAGTACTATCTTAATTGGGAGGTAAGGCTCCTTTTTGATTTAGCAGTGTTTCATTAATGCAACTTCAGATAGAACACAATTAAACGACGTGGTTCTAGTTAGGTATATGAGTACATATATTTTTATGTTGCCATCCATTATTTAATTGCAATTGTAGAATTATAGGAATCTTCCTCAATTTCAGTGAGTTCTTTGAGATATCAGTAATTGCTGAGTGTTCAAATTGTAGGCCCAAATTTCATCCTAATTTGTTTAACTCCTTACTGTTTGCTTCTCTTTGTAAGTTAGGGGTACTACAATTAAAATACATATATGTATAAACATGTGTTTTTTTAAGAAAACAAAACTTCATATAATTTAAAATACATGCAGATTGATTGTATATTACAGTACATGACAGCGTAATCATCTCTATTAAGAAATAAGTTCATTTGTTTGAAGTTTCTGTATTCGAAATTTAGAAAGCTGCCTTATACTGAGTCATTTCATTGATTGATCTAGCTCAGCCAATTGATAGATGTCAATTAATGTTAGTTGTGAGATTTAGGTAGAGGTTTTCAGTGGCCTAGCTGGAGATACTAGGGACTGAAGTTACAGCACACTGCATCCCTAGTGTGCTGTCACTAAGGTATGTTCAAATAAGCATGCCCAGATTTCTGCTGGAAAAAAAAGGAAGAATTCTTTCTGTACATAAACTTGATAAAAAATATTCTTGCTAATAACATTAATTGATACATAAATGTGCTGTATTTCCCATTGTTCCTTTTATTTTCTGCATTAGAATACTGCAAATCATGTTAGGCTAGCAAAAAGCCTTTCACATAGTCGTTCAACAATTATGGATTTGAGGTCATGTGTAGTATATTTGATAGATTTTTTTTATTGTCTTTTGGCTATAGCCCTTTCATTATTTTCTTCCTGGAATTAGGGTTGAGTTTCTCTTGAAACAGTTTTGTATTTCTTATGATTGGATGAAACAATAAATGATATATTAATATTAAGATAAAGAGTTAAAATCAAGTCACATTCCATGTTAACTGCAGTACCATGTCATTTAGTAATTAGAGAGCAAGTCCTGTAAAATTTGGACAAACTCATTTGAAAGTAAACATGCTTTAGAATTCAACTGAAAACCTCCATTTTAGTAGAATTTAGTTGTATCTAATTTAGATATTTATTTGTTTCCAGCATAATGAAATTGTCCTGAATGGTTGAGAAAAGTTTTTGTAAATTTAAGTTATCGTAGTTAGCAATGGTTTATGAGTATGGATATGGATATGTACATGTCCATATAAATAAGAGATTAAGATTTTAAATTAATATATTTTTAAATGACCCATATATTACTGGTAGGAAAACTGATTTATTGTAAGAACAGTACTTCTGTGTAATAATATTTATAGTGTATTTGTGATTGTAATTAAGCCAATTAGGCTAAATGAAAAAAGATTTCTAACTCAATGAATATTAGTTCTGAGAAGTGAGAAGTATTTTTCATTTTCAGTTCATTTTTACTGCAGCTCCTACAAACTTTGTTGATTAGTCATGTTGAATAGGCTAAAAATTTTAATCAAAAACCTCATTAGGCCATCTGACTGATATAAACCATGATGTGTGAATAAAAGCGAAAGCACACATCGTCATATAAGATATGTGAGAGTTTTTAACATGTAACTTTCAAGGAAATTATGTATAGATTTATATTTTACTAATATTTTGTTAATTCATACTTTGTGTGGGATATCATGCAATTTAGCATGCATTCTGGGATAGATTGATCTTTCCATTCATGAAATAATTGGATTCTTAGTTCCCTAAATGCTGTAAAACACTATCCTATTAAGGTAAAAAAAAATGGTTTTGTATTTAAAAATTGCAATTGGAACATGCACAATAAAGTTGGGGAAACTAAACATTAAGTTAAAAATTAACGCACTTGCTTATGTACACAGTCCACAGTTAAATTATAGCGTTGTCCAATTTGAACAGTAAAAGTTGCAGTATAAGCAAGTAGCCAGATGTTGTGTTTATTAAGAGTAAGGTATGAATTAATTGCAGTATAAAAGAGGGTGAAATTGGCCTCTTCCCTCAGATAATTATGAATGTGTATATAAATTGTTGAATGTGAAGCATGGGATGACCTATTTATACCTATGATAGCGTTCCCTAAAGTCTATATGGCCTTGTGTTGTACCAGGGGCTCCTTAACATTTTGAGCAGAGTCAAGTCTTTTTTTCTAACTGGAAATATGAGTGCTTGTATTTGCAGAAGTGTGGGTGAATGTGTATCCTGATTGCTTATATATTTATTTTTATAAGTATAAATGAGTTTTCTCCCATATGGTGTATAGATGAAAATACAGATAAGTAGGGTTAATTTTGTTTAGAATAAAAAGTAAAGTCTCATTTAAATTACCAGTAAATTCAGTTCCTAAGGACCTAAGGACACATCTATATAGTATTCCTTACAACGACATAAACACGATTTGTCATTGTTTTATAATCTACAATGCAATATATTTTCAAAAAAGTAAATGTGTAATTCTGGTGGGCAATGCTATCATCATTGTTTGGGTTATGTGCTGGTTGAGGCTTCGGTAAGCAGAGCAACAATATTACAAACACTAGGGAGGAATTGTGCTTTTATAGTTCGTGTGTTTTCTGCCCTCAGCGTGGCAAGAAAATATCAACAATTTTTGACAATTGTATGTTGAAATTTGATGCATGAATAGGGGAGTGCTTGGTATCTGCTGCTTAATATATGTGACAGCTCATATTGATGCATTGATTTCTTGATTGTTAATTGTGGGCATTGTGGTTCAGAAACGTTCCAAGATAGAAATAGACTTTTCACTGGAAATGAAATATTATAATGCCAATCTTCAGTTCTGTGTGGAAAAAATCCAATAGTGTATATTTGCCTGTGGGTGTGTATTATATTAGTACATATGCTAGCGTTCTATTCCGCAGAAGCTTCTTTGGTGTCTAAATATTTAGACTAGCTTTCTCCATAGTACCTGAAATAAAATAAATTCTCTGTAAATATAAATATAGTATGCTAAAAGTAAAATATTATATATGGGTGACACTTGAGTTGACATCATTTCAAAAATTAATGATATGGAAGTTGTTCTAGACATTCAGGGTTTTAGCCACTTATTCCATCTACCTGAATTGGTTGCAATAAGATGAACATCATTCAATGATGCATTGATTTCAGAATTGTGGTCAAGTTCGATTAGAGATACGGCAATGCTTGTTTTCGAGTTCTGTCCCAGCTTTCTGAAGGCTTGGGGAATCTTCCACATGGTTGTCCTTCCAACTGCTGGATAAGGAAATTACTCCCACCCCTTCTTTTAACAAGAAGTCTCTGCTAAATCCCAATTCACTCAAATAATGAAACTTTCCTGTTTGCAGGGGTACAATTATATCTGTCCATGTAAGGAGACAAATTTGACAGAAGTGTGTTCTCTTCAGCACATTTTGGGGTACAATGGGAGGAAAGGGAAATTACATTACACAGGCAGATTTCCACATCTATAGTCTCAAGCCAAACCCATTGTTATCTGTATTTTATAAAACAAATATATAGAAGGGCATAAATTATAATCTAATTTAAAATAACATATTCAA